ATACAGATGTATTTATTGGTCTTAAACACACATACATACAGATGTATTTATTGGTCTTAAACACACACACATACAGATGTATTTATTGGTCTTAAACACACATACATACAGATGTATTTATTGGTCTTAAACACACATACAGATGTATTTTCCTGTAAAAATATATATCAAGGTATATTTGTTTAACCCATATTTATTAGAGGATAATCCTCTGAAACATGTTAAACATGTGGTCGGCCATGTTTTCTCCACTCCCATAAATTAGAATTGTAATTGTACAGACATTTATACTTGTTACATGGGTTACAAGCACGCAGTCACACTTATTAGTATGCATTACTAGAAATTCAGGGATCTTCGCGCACATTTCTAAAAAAAATTTGTCTTTATTTCGCTTCAAATAAAAAAATAAAAAGTTGAAATTTCTTTCTTCTCTCTCATGATTGAAATTTTCCCATCCTCACAGGAACAGTAAGCGTAATTTTGAGCAATGTCCAATTTACAACGGTACCCTTGAAACCTTTATCTGATCAATAATATGGAAGATATTATCGTTTTTCTTAGTTTAAAATTATTTAATTCTGATGATATAAATATGTTTTCCTGCAGTAGAAATGCTCAAGTCACTTTTATAGAGAAACTGTCAGTCTGAAAAGTTATAAAAATTGAAACATTTTATGCTGGATCAGACAAAGCTTTTCTGGGCGCTGTTGGGAGTCGGGCATTGCCATCTTTGCATGGAGTGTCACTTGAAATTACGCTTACAGTCCCTTTAAAGCGAAACTTTAATATTTTAGATCTATGATTAAAGCAGTTCACTCAGAAGGGTCCTTTCGCTCTCAACGGTTCAAGGAGGGAGGGGTGGCTGCTCCCAGGGTTTTGGAGTGCTCACATGATTTTGGAATTGCTCCCAGGGTTTTGGAGTGCTCACATGATTTTGGAGTTGCTCCCAGGTTTTTGGAGTAAAATGGGAAAATTTATCCGACCTTTTATGAAAATTCCTTTGAAAAGGGAACTTTAAAACCGAAAATTGAAAAAAGGGCTTTGCTACCCCTTTTTTACTGTCTTTGTTCAGATATTTGCTGAAAAAAATCGCAAATTTCAGTCCATGTAGCCGTGTGGCGATCATATAGTTTTAATTAGCCAAACTGACGACATTTGTTTCAGATTACACATTAAAGATTATTGTTAAATGTAAAAAAATATCTTTTTTGAGCATCAAACATTGAGGTTTCATTTGAGCTGGTCTAATACATCTCAACATCTTTATAAATTATCTTATTTCCAAGTTTTTTTTTCAGAAAAATCCATTTTTTCGCCTAAAAAAATCTTTAATTGATTGGTGCCATTCAAAATTGCGTTTTTACCCAACAGTCACGAAATAAAAATTGTTCTATGTTTTTAGAGCCTTTTATATGGCTCGCACCATACCAAAAATCATCAAATTATTGAGATATCTGAGGAGAACTATGTTTTTTCTTAGTTTTCATATCTTGGGAGTTGCCACCCCTCCCTCGTTCAACCCTTGGTTGCTGACTAAATATTTCTTTGAACCATTGCTATATTATTAAAATTAAATTCTTCCATTTATAAGTTTAGACAACATGGATATCAAGTTCAGCGTTGAAGATAAGTTCTTTTCTAAATGATTACTTAGATTTGATGAATTCAAATGTTATTTTTTACCGCAAAAAGTCACCATTTCTAAACGACTAGGTTAACGACTCTCAATCAATTGTGAGAAAAGGTCTTCCTGCTGAAATAAAAATATTTTGAATTTCAAAATATAAACATTATGTAACAAGTAACAATTATGTTAAGAATGCCAGGCCGGATTTTAAGAACCCTTATGACGGTATTTAGATTTTTTTTCTTCTCAACAAAGTAGAAGAAAATGAAGTCACAAAATGAGTGAATGAAAAAACTGAATCTATAAAAATGTAGAAATGCTAACCTGTATATTTTACCAAACATAACATACTCGAAACTATCTGCTCGACTTGGACCAGAGTCCAGAGGGGACCAGTCACTCTGATCTGCAAACCCATCCTCTCTACAGATATAGATAAATAGATAGATAGATAAATAAATAGAAATAATTTTCTTGATTAAGTTTATTTGATATGTCCAAGATGTGTGGATTATCTATAAGGGTTGTTTGAACCCTAGTAAGAGCTGTAAATATTGAGCTTAACTCAATGATTTATCCACTTAAAGGCCTGTCACATTAGTCAAGTTCTATATCTTTTTATTTTGTATCATGTATCCTGTATCCTGTATCCTGCATCCTTTTTCCTGTATTCTGTTTCCTGTGTACTGTATCCTGTATCCTGAATCCTGTTTTTCTTGATAGTCTGNCCTTCCACTTGTTTTATCATCTTAAACCCCTCTCCTTCCACTTGTTTTATCATCTTAAACCCCTCTCCTTCCACTTGTTTTATCATCTTAAACCCCTCTCCTTCCACTTGTTTTATCATCTTAAACCCCTCTCCTTCCACTTGTTTTATCATCTTAAACCCCTCTCCTTCCACTTGTTTTATCATCTTAAACCCCTCTCCTTCCACTTGTTTTTTCATCTTAAACCCCTCTCCTTCCACTTGTTTTATCATCTTAAACCCCACTTCTTCCACTTGTTTTATCATCTTAAACCCCATCTCCCATTCCACTTGTTTTATCTTCTTGAAACCTTCTCCTTTTCTCCTCACATTCCACTTAATTGTTTTATCTGCTTGAAACCTTCTCCTTTTCTCCTCACATTCCACTTAATTGTTTTATCTTCTTGAAACCTTCTACTTTTCTCCTCACATTCCACTTGTTTAATCGTCTTGAAACCTTCTCCTTTTCTCCTCACATTCCACTTATTTTATCTTCATGAAACCTTTTCTTTTTCTCCTCCCATTCCACTTGTTTTATCTTCTTGAAGCCTTCTCCTTTTCTCCTCACATTCCACTTGTTTTATCTTCTTGGAACCTTTTCCTTTGCTCTACACATTTCACTTAATTGTTTTATCTTCTTAAAAACCTTCTTCTTTTCTCCTCACATTCCGCTTGTTGTATCGTTCTAAACCCTTCTCCTTCTCATTCCCCTTGTTTCAACGATCTAAACCCTTCTCTTTCCGCCTTCTCACATTGTTTTTTCGTCTTAAATTCTTCTCCTTCTCTCTTTTCCCATTTCACTTGTTTTATCTTCTTAAACCCATTCTACCCTCCAAACCTCTTTTTAAATATACTCTCCACCAACCCCCAACCCCCTCTTATACCACCATCTGTTCCTCCTCCGACCAGGAGGGAAGTTTATTCTTCTCCGTTCTTCTCCCCTAGTCTCTCCAAGATGTGCAATCAAGTGTGGGGCGTGGAAGAAAAATAGTATTATTCCACCACCTGGAGATATTTGCCAGATTCTAGACTCAGACAGATTAGTTTCACATTTCTTCTCTTTACTACTTTTATTCAACCTGGAGAGAAAGAGATAGATAACTGTTGATTGAATAGATCATGGTCAAACAGATTTGTTATCACAACTATAAACCCTGGAAAGAAATGGTTACCCTCCACAAACTCAAAATCTCTATTCCCATAGCTTTGAAACACGATGGTGTACACCTTCATGAACCAAATTTAATGTATAGCAAGAAGCAGTTGAATTAAACAGGCTAAGTTTAACCACTACTATCTTATTTGAACCGGCGCACAAGAGAAGTGGTTTAACTTAGTCTTTGTTGTAAGATGTAGGGATTAGAAAATTAGAATTTGAGGCAAGGAATCAGTTCCTTTTTGTAAATATCAATAATCATTGACATGCAATACAGTGAAGCAAAAATTGAATAAGAACAAGAAAAAAAATACAATTAAAAGTTTTAATAACAGAAAATTTTTTTTTTAATGGATGGTCTGTCCATCTGTTGGTTTGTTTGTTTCCAATAAACGTGGAAACAGCTGAACCGATCAGGCCCACATTTTTCGTGGCAACCCAGGAAAAGTTTTGTAGAGTCAAACACTATATAGTAAAACTTTAAAAATGTTGCCAAGAACAAAATGACGACATATTTGAAAATCCGCGAAAGTTTCTTTTAATTTGAGTACGATGAAAAACTCGCGTTATAAAAAGCAAGAGTGAAACTTGCTACTTATAAAATGTGAAGCGATCTAAAAGCCAAGTATACATGTACATATTGATATTTAAGGTGTAGAACGAAAAGAGGGTGAGTGAATGACTGTTTTTCAAAAGTAGGATTTATATCTCAGAGAGAAAATCTTAAGTATTTTTTAATTTCCATGAGTTTTCATTTTTCAAATAGTTTGAAAATTAGCAGAAAACAATATAATTTAGAATATAATTTAGAATATGTACAGGGCTTATGAAATTTTTCAGGGGGCCATATTATATATATATAACCTCCCCCCTCCCTTCCCCTGAATACATTCATATCATATGTATTATACAATGTGCTCTTTACTACTAATACAATTAAGGTTTGTGGTATATTAAAGTATATTGGAGTTCATCAAAACATATTAAAATTTAGTGAATTATATTATTACAGTAAGAACCTGAAAGCTGTGGAATATGAAGACGACATTATNTCATTAAACTGAAGCAATGTTTTTGCGTGATCAAGAATAAATGAAAGGAGGATTTTTAAATTTTAGATAAAAAGTTACTAAAGATAATAAATTTGCATTTTTTAATTGCAAACGATCAGGGGTCAACGTCTATTATTGAAAGGGATTTTTAAAATCAGGGTTTACTTTAGGGTCATGACTAGAAAGGGTTCGCTGAATATTAAGTGTTGGCACATTAATTAAATAAAATTAGCGCATTTCCTAAACCACAGAGTTGGAAGACGACATTTGTTTTGCGGGCAATTAAAGCATTTTGATTAAAATAACAGTAAATAAAAAATGCAGCTGATCCTAAATGGACTAAGTAGTAATTTCAAGTGAAGTTCATGTTCGATTCACAACGATACCCTTTAAACCTCTATCTGGGTAATAGTGAGGAAGATATTGTCGTTTTTCTATCTCAAAACGTGTTGATATTTCATTCATCCTTGATGAGACAAAGGTTTAAAGGGTACCTGTGTGAGTCGGACCACCCAATCTAAAAACTGGAGGTTCGCATAAAACTTGCGCCTGCAGTCAATTTATTAAACTATTATTTGTTAGTTTAGCATTTTATAAATGTTTGGATACTTATTACTGATATGCATGGTTTCAATGAGGGGTTAACAAATTTTCCCCCCTCTGTGGTTTATTCTTATAAATCTACTTTTTCAAACTCTACTAATAATTAAATTTTAAAAAGTTTACATTGAAGAGACATTGAAGGTTGAAATTTTGATCATAATGTACAATCGGATTTATCAGCCAAGCATTTAAATTATTGCATAAACAATCAACTAATTATAAATCACATTATGCAAGTGTTATATCAACAACTCTTTATCTAGGGTTCATCACCAGCTTATATAGGATTGCTTCAAGCAATGATATGTTAAAGTTCTAAACAGTTTCTTGCTTAATGAAAAAGTTTCTTTCTTCTAGGTTTGGATATTTGTTTACTTTTCTCAAATATCCCGGGGACTTTTCTCCGGTCTTCTGAACACATATCTTCTCCGGTTTCTTCAACCGAACCCTTCTCCGGTACCCTTAACCGAACCCTTCTCCGGGTATCTGAACCAACCCTTTCCCTGGTCCATATTCAAATAATTTGACCCGAAATTTACTCTGGTTTTAAAAACCGAACTCTGCTCCAACCTTTTGTATTTACTAAGCCGGGCTCCGGTCTGCTGAACCAAATTCTGCTCCGGTTTCCCCTTGAGCTGAGATCAGACTAATATAAGAATTGGGGAACCAGGATTTACAAAATATAATCCTTTTATCAGAAGATGAGTTTAGACAGGCGAGTATCCCAGGTTCTTCCTCTGCAGGAAAAGATGGATTTCTCTAAAGGAGGGACGAAGAGTCTCCTCCAGGTTCCAACACTCCTCCATCAGCTCATATAGATCCCTGGAGCAGGGTTGGGGTTGGGGTAGAGTAGGACAACTCTTGCTCTGGAGTTTGCTGATGATCTGTGAGTCAGTGAGATCATGGTAGGGACGGATACCAGAGTAGTTTAGTATCTCCCACATGCAGACTCCAAAGGACCAGACGTCAGATTTAGTAGTGAAGCGTTTCTAAATATAGTTCATATTAATAATATTCATATAACAACTTATGAAAATAAATTGAGCCTTTGCCATAAACTCTGATTTTCTACTCATAATATCTTTGCAATCCAATGTCATAGATCTTGATATTTCAAGCTATGAATTTTGTCAGATCAAATATTTCTGTTCAAAATTTTAATAATTTACACAATCAGGTGGCAAAGATAAAGGGATTAGAAAGTTAGAGTTTGTGGCAAAAACTCAATTTCTTTATTTATAACTTTTTCATGTGTGAAAATAAATGTGTAATCAATCATATTTAACCATAATTGAATTATGATAGGTTGTCAATATTTCTATTTCTACTCCATGTGTCCATAAACACAAGCTGAACTCCATGCAAAACATTCTCGTTGTACAGACAGGACAGTACAAGGCTAAATCGTCAGAGAGAACCCAGTATTTACGGGCTTTGGGGAATGATTTGTATATTCTCTTTAAAAACATAAAAACATTGGAAAAGAATAATACCGGTCGACTCATAATTTGATAATGGTTCATCTTCCCGTTTATGGCAAATATACTCTTTAAAATTGTTTTCAAATGAAATATTTTACAATATTTATTCTTTTTTATAAAGAATGTGCAAACTGCATCTTAACACTATTCATCTCTAAATCTGTGGTATTTTTGTAAAATTTCTAATATTTTCTTTACGAAAATGACAAATATAAAAGAAAGGTAAAAAGATTATCTTCATATTTGAAATGAATAAAGTTTCCAAATCAGAGAAAAATGCTTGTTTACCTCTAAGACTGACTCCCAGGCCATCCAACGGAGTGGGACGAGAAGACCGTCCTCTAGCTCCGTGTAGTCTCTCCGGTACTCCGGAGTATCGCTGCCGAAATCACATATCTTGATATGATAGGCTTTCCCAACCAGACAGTTTCTGAATAATACAATTAAGTCAAGACTCAAGACATAAAAAGGCAAAAACTTTTGGCGCTAAAAAATTAATGTTCAAACCAAAATTGAGGTTGGAAATAAAATGAAAAGGACACAATGTTCACGTTTATGCAAAATAGAAAAGAAAACAAGCTAAAAAGGTAAAATAGAAAAAGTCAACATTTAAACGGAGAAAATAGAAAGTTTATAGAAATAAAAACAGTTTTGTAACACGCACTTAAAATAATGAAAAATTTTTATAAGAACTCAGGAGAAAACTTTTGAATTCCAAAATTAATATATAAATATGATATTAGAGAAACAGAAGATTAAAGAGACTGTAGGCGTTATTTCAAGTGACCTCCATTTACAGAGTGTCATGTCCGATTCGCAATGGTACCATAAAAACCTTTTATCTTTATAAAATTGAAATGCAGAATAATACAGACTTTAGATAGAAAAATATCAATATCTTCTTCATTGTTACTCAGATAGGAGTTACGATAGTATCATTGTGAATCGGAACTGCCAATCTTTAAATAAAGGGTCATATGAAATTAAGCGTACAGTCCCTTTAATTAAAAAAACGCGTGAAAGATTTTAAAATTTGTTGAAAGAATAAAACGAGAAGAGGAAAATAAAGAGGATTAAAGTTTAGGAATGAGAATCTGATATTAGATACAGGGACGGAGGTGGGGAATTGCTGGACTTTAAAATCATTTATAAAATAAAATATAATTGAAAGAGAGTAAAGTTGAGGTTTGAGTGTTATCCTTTCCTGCAGGTCTCACCCAGCAGATGAATTCTTTTATGATTTACCGACGCTATTCAAATGCAAATTAAAACGTCACCGACTTTTTTAGTTTCGGAACCTGCTTCAAACTATCATTCTCTTTTCCTAAACTGACACCCAACTAAACCTGGTAGATTACGGATGAATTTCTCCTAAACAGTTTTATGTTCTACCGAGATATCTTAAAGCTAATTACCGAAGGAAGGAGAGGGTGAGTAATTTAACAACCCCCTAGAGATATAGATACTGCCAAGTCCCCCCCCTCATCTCCACCCTCTCTTTAAACCAGTGACGCCAGGTTAAGCTGAGTAAGATATTTACATATTCCCCCCGTTCTTGTTATTAGATGAGATTTGTAAAGATATTTCTACCTGGTGGCTAAATCCCTGTGTACAAAGTTCAAACTCTCCAAATATTTCATGCCGGAAGCGATCTGTGTGGCCATATAGATGAGAGTGGGGAAACTCAGTGTTCGGGTTCCAGGAGGGAGGAACGGGGTTGTCTCTGGGAGGTGGGATCGGAGAAACTTGGTTAGATCACCGTGCTCCAGATACTCCATAACCACAAAGTATGGAGTACGTGTTTCACAGACCCCGAGAACACGGGATATGTTCTCATCCTCTAACCCTGCCAGGAGCCGAACCTCGCGCATAAACTCCTTCTTTTCCTGGTCCCCTGAGTCCCGGTTCATGTACTTAACAGCAACCATCCTTGTGGACAGCGGGCTCAGCTGTCCGTAGCTGGGAATCCGGATTTCTCCGGTGTGAACCGTCCCGAAGGTTCCGTCGGAGATGAGCTCCTTGAGAAAAATACTGTCTGGATCAACCTGGTACAGGATCAGGTTCTCTACTCTCATCCTCATCAATCGTAGAGAATCCGATTGTTTTAATTCTTCATTCTATAATAAAACAAGGTCAAGAATATTATATATTTAGGTTTGAGAAGAAAAAGGATTGCAATTTTAGTTCCAGATTTTAGGTTCATTACACAATTAATAAAGTAATAAAGTTAATAAAGTAGGAAAGATGGAAATCTAGTTTAAAGGAGTTAAATGAGAAGGGAGGATGGAAATCTTTTTATCTGGATGGAAGAAGGAGAAAAGAAGCATCTTTAAATCTATGTGAAAGAAGGAGGAGGGATGAACATCTTTAAACCTAGGTGAAAGAAGGAGGAGGGATAAACATCTTTAAATCCAGGTGAAATAGGAGGAAGGATGAAAATCTTTAAATCTAGGGGAAAGAAGAAAGGAAGGGGGTAAATTTTTAAATTAAAATGAAAGGAAAAGGGATGGATTAAATCTAGGTTAAAGAAGGAGAAAGGATGAACATCTGTAAATCAAAATGAAAGGAAAAGGGATGGATTAAATCTAGGTTAAAGAAGGAGGAAGGATGAAAATCTTTAAATCTAAGGGAAAAAAGAAAGGAAGGAGGTAAATTTTTAAATAAAAATTTTAAAAAAATTAATGGATTAAAGAAGGAGAAAGGATGAAAATCTTTAAATCTAGGGGAAAGAAGAAAGGAAGGAGGTACATTTTTAAATCAAAATGAAAGGAAAAGGGAGGGATTATATCTAAGTTAAAGAAGGAGAAAGGATGAACATCTTTGAATCTAGGGGAAAGAAGAAAGGAAGGGGGGTAAATTTTTAAATCAAAATGAAAGTAAAAGGGATGGATTAAATCTAGGTTAAAGAAGGAGGAAGGATGAAAATCTTTAAATCTAGGGGAAAGAAGAAAGGAAGGAGGTAAATTTTTAAATAAAAATTAAAGAAAAATTAATGGATTACATCTAGGTTAAAGAAGGAGAAAGGATGAAAATCTTTAAATCTAGGGGAAAGAAGAAAGGAAGGGGGGTAAATTTCTAAATCAAAATGAAAGTAAAAGGGATGGATTAAATCTAGATTAAAGAAGGAGAAAGGATGAAATCTTTAAATCTAGGGGAAAGAAGAAAGGAAGGCGGTAAATTTTTAAATCAAAATGAAAGTAAAAGGGATGGATTAAATCTAGGTTAAAGAAAGGATGAAATCTTTAAATCTAGGGGAAAGAAGAAAGGAAGGCGGTAAATTTTTAAATCAAAATGAAAGTAAAAGGGATGGATTAAATCTAGGTTAAAGAAGGAGAAAGGATCTTTAAATCTAAGGAAAAGAAGAAAGGAAGGAGGTAAATTTCTAAATAAAAATGAAAGGAAAAGGGATAGATTAAATCTAGGTTAAAGAAGGAGAAAGGATGAACATTTTTAAATCTAAATGATTCTATTTTATTTTCCATTTTCTCCAACAATGGGATGTGGTTCAGAACTAGTGAAGTCTGTCATATTTTGGGAAATTTTTATATTTATGCAAATTTCAACAGAAATGTTTTTATGATAAAGTTTCTCTTTTATATTTTGCTGATTTAAATTTTCTTCTATTTCTGACACTTGATAGAAACAGAATACAAGAGGAACAAAGAATGTTTTCGTCCATATTGGAGAAAATCTTATTATACATTCCATAGATCAAATTTATCCAATCAAACTTGTACTAACATAGGGGAGAGGGAACGAGAGGGGGGAGGGATATTTTCTAGAAAACCTTCAGATAATATTTCGAGAGGTTTTTCAAGATAATTAATGAAAAAAAAAGTAGCGTAGAGTGTGTATAGAATGTATCTGGTAAATGTTTAATGTCTTCTTTCCAAACTTTGCAAAAAGCAAATGGCGTCAAATTTGTTTATGCCTTTATATAGCCTAGTAACGTCTCTTATACAAATACTGAAAGTAAAAAGATATTTAATAAAAATATTAAACCTTTGAAATTCTGTTGTAAAGTGAAATTAAAGTGAACCCATTTCAATATTGTATATTTTACAAAGAATGCATTATAGCAAAGCTCTTACTAGAATTCGCAATAATGGATATACAATGCGCTCAGTTAAACTTTTTAATTTGTGAAAAGATTTCAATGAAACTTTAAGTATTTAGATACAGTAAGAATTAGAAAAATGTGGAATAGGAAGACGACATAATAGCGATTTGATTTGATGTTGCTACATAGCAAATAGTTTAATAATAACTTATGAAATCACGCATTTATGGTAAATCGGTCTGATTACATTCCACAATTGCTGTGTCTCATGTTCATTGGACTATTCAAAGTCATAACTAGAATCTAAAAGTCGTCTTCCTATTCCAGAATGTGTTGGTTCTTACTGTATAACAAGCTATTGTGGGACCATATAATATTACTAAAAAATAGTGGTTTTACTACACTAGAATTTCCCTATAGCAAGGGCTGATTCATTTGGTGTGCTATCCCGCTATTGTGGGACCATATAATATTTCTAAAAATGTTGGTTTTACTACAGTAGAATCTCCCTATAGCAGGGGCTGATTCATTTGGTGTGCTATCCCGCTATTGTGGGACCATATAATATTTCTAAAAATAGTGGTTTTACTACAGCAGAATCTCCCTATAGCAGGGGCTGATCCATTTGGTGTGCTATCCCGTTTTTCATTATATAGTCTGTATGTGATCTGTACAAAAGCATTGCCTTTGCTACTTAAAAGTTTACATAGTTTACAGTGACCAGGCATCTTATTTTAAATATTTTTTTAAAGGCATTCATTTTCAAAGCTACAGAGAAATGTACATTGTACAAGTTAATATCAAACATAAAAAACTATTCAATTTATGATTAAGAAATTATCCAATATACAAATAATATATCTATATAATAAAACAAGACATTCGTATATATGTTCCCTATAGGCGGCCAAACGGCTGGAACGAATAGGCTTACATTTTTTTGTGGACACTCATGGGTAGCCGGGGGGTGACATAGGCTAAAAAAAAATTATTTCTTCAAAATTTTTAAAACGCCAGGCCCATCAGCTAGTATCTAATAATAGACAAATCCGTATGTTTATCAAATCCCAATGTTTACTGTATGTACACTGGTACAGAGAGAAGAGAGAATTGAACTGACCTTTTAGAAATATTTTAGAGAACAAAGAGTTTGAGAAATTATGAGAGACGTTCACGTCCTAGCTCCTGACTCAAGATTTAATCTTAGAAAAATCTTGCTCAGCCAGTGGAAAATTCAAGGAGGGTTTTATCCTGAAATTAATTAGATATGACCTGGAGAAAGACGTAATCTGAGTTCTGATCTAAGGAAGTTTGAGACCCGGAGACATTATGCGAGGATTGAGAAACCCGACTGCTAGCAGAGTTTGGACTACGGGTAGGTACTGGAACTGCATATTCTCCACATGATGTATCTAAATATTAATTAATTAATTATATTAGCATATTAATGTGAATAATTACAAGAGTACAAAATGCCCGAGGTATAATATCATAAACATTATTTACCTTTAATTCAGATTTATGTGAAGTTTTAAGAAATTAAGAATTAAAGTGGCAATAAGTGTAATTTCACGGGACCCTTCAGTTATAAAGTGGCAATAAGTGTAATTTTACGGGACCCTTCAGTTATAAAGTGGCAATATGTAATTTTACGGGACCCTTCAGTTATAAAGGGGCAATAAGTGTAATTTTACGGGACCCTTCAGTTATAAAGTGGCAATAAGTGTAATTTTACGGGACCCTTCAGTTATAAAGTGGCATGTCCGATTCACAACTGTGCGCTTTTAAACTCTGTCTGGTCAAGGATTGTTTTCTTGCTGAAGATTGAATTTTTTCAATTTTGGTTTCTCTGTAAAATTTATGCTGCAGAGACAATGAAGGATTTTGTCAGAATTTAACACTATTCCTCATTTTTGAGATCCGATAGAGGTATAAAGGACAATGCTGACACATGACAAATTTAGGTTTTAAGTTTCACTGAAAATTACCCCCGATTTTTTTGGAAAGGAAATGAGTCCTTGCCACAAATTCTGATTTTCTAATCCCTATATCTTTGGAACCTTTGATATTTCAAAGTTATATCATTTGATCTAAGAGAAGTCATAGTTTGAAATGTCAAAGGTCTACAACATTGGACTCCAAAGATATAGGGATTAGAAGATCAGAGTTTATGCCAAAGACTCAATTCCTTTGAAAGTATAGGATTAGCCGATTTCAAAGGAAGTTTTAAACAAAACCGTTTTCATCACATTTTAATTGAATCAAATTAAAAAAAAGGATCCTAGTTTGCAAACACGGAAAACTGCAAAAAAGTGAAAATCATCGAAAAAATTAACTTTGTATTTAATAGATTTGGAAATATAATCCGGAGAGATTAATGTTGATAACCAACTCCCTTTAGAATAAAAACATATTTTGGGTTTACTCTCTTCATTTTTTATGTTAACCTTATGGATTCGATGATTATCACATTTTTGCAGTTTTCACTCCTTGCAAACTAGGATACTTTTTTTTGATTCAATTCGAACGAAAACTGTAAAAAAAGAGCCAAACATTAGAAAACTGGCTATTTATAAAATAACAAAATATTTTAAGTCTATATTAGTATTTTTACTGCAAAATCTAAAGATTCCATGATTATCACCTTTTTGCAGTTTTCCGTCCTTGCAAACTAGGATACTTTTTGGTCAATATTTCGAACCCCATTTTCTCAAAAACGGCTACTCGTCAAATTTGTTTAAAACATGTTTTGAAATAGGCTACACATTCAATTTCCAAAAAAATGGGGGTAATTTTTAGTCAGGTGTGTGTCGTGAATCAGACATGCTTGATAAAATTATCAAAAGGAATTGAGTCATATTTTCTTATTCCTTTATCTTTGCAACTTGGTGATGTAGACCTTTGATATTTCAAACTATAATTTCTGTCAGATTAATTAATCTAAGTTTGAAAAATCATAGGTTTACATCTTTAAGCTGCAAAGATAGAATAGAAAATTTAAAATTGTGACAAAAACTCAATTCCTTTAGGGTCTCATGAAATTGCTTGGATGCCAGCACCTTTAGATTTACGATATGTAAGTCATTATAAGACGATAAGTCAGTTGAAGAATATGTTTATTAGTATTAGATGTAAATATTGAAATAATGAATGAATAATGAATTCAAAAATGATTGAGATTGCAGAATTTTCATCACGTAGATTAGAACACTGACTGAGTTCACAGTGAGAAAGAAATGAAAACAAAGATCATGAAAGATAAAAGATAAAAATGAGATAAAATATAAAAAAAATATAGAAAGTAAGAGAAAGAGAAGGAGCAGATAGAAAGAGGAAGCGAGAATGCGACAAAGAATGATAAAAGAGAAGGAGTGGGGAGAAAAGAGAAAAAGAAAAGGAGGGAAGAGAATGAAATGATTGAATGAGAAGAAAGAAAAAGATAGTTAAGAGATGAGAAAAGAGAAGAGAATGTGAATAAAAAAGATGAAAGAGACTGATGAATAATTGAGGAAAAGAAAGAAAAGTAAGAATGAGAGGAGATAATAAGTAGAAATAAAGAAATAAGAAAATTAAGGAAGAAAATGAGATAGAGAAAATAAAATAAAATGAAATAAGTAGAGGAGAGATTTAGGAGAGAGAATGAAAATAGCAGGATAGAATTAAGAGGAAAAATGAGAGGAGAGAATTGGAGGAAATATTAATAGGGATGTTTGGAGGACATATTAAATGGAATGGGAAGAGAGGAGAGAATTGGAGGACATATTAAGTGGAATGTGAAGAGAGGAGAGAATTGGAGGACATATTAAATGGAATGGGAAGAGAGGAGAGAATTGGAGGACATATTAAGTGGAATGTGAAGAGAGGAGAGAATTGGAGAACATATTAAGTGGAATGTGAAGAGAGGAGAGAATTGGAGGACATATTAAATGGAATGGGAAGAGAGGAGAGAATTGGAGGACATATTAAGAGGGATGTGAAGAGAGGAGAGAATTGGAGGACATATTGAGTGGAATGTGAAGAGAGGAGAGAATTGGAGGACATATTAAGTGGAATGTGAAGAGAGGAGAGAATTGGAGGACATATTAAGAGGGATGTGAAGAGAGGAGAGAATTGGAGGACATATTAAATGGAATGTGAAGAGAGGAGAGAATTGGAGGACATATTAAGTGGAATGTGAAGAGAGGAGAGAATTGGAGGACATATTAAATGAAATGTGAAGAAAAGATACTAAAAGAGAATAGAATGATATAAAAGAAACAAAGAAGAGTAGGAAAGGCGAGAAAGTATCCAGTTTCAATGGTTCAAGATTTTGTCTGGAGATTGAGTCTATCTGATTCTAGGATTAATCCGTTACTCAGGGTACATTCTAAACCCTGCTCCGAGGTGCTGCTGGAGACAGGATTTACATCAAAGTGTAAACTAAGGACCAAAAACTAGTTTCCAGAGATTTATTGTAAACCAAAAACAAAGCTGTTCGCATTGTTTTTGTCATCCTCCTGCGGAGCAGTCTTTTTAATAGGATTTTTGACAGTTTAACTTTAAACTCATTAGCCGGTCACTTGACCCCGGGTAAAAACATGTTTGAGGATTACAAGATGAACATCAAGAATATATTTCTCCGTCAAAAATCCTATTTAGATAACGTCTAGACTTAGGTTTCATGATCTTAAATACTCATCTTTAAATCTTCTATCGTCAACCTTTCAGATTTTAAGGTTTTGTTTTCAAACCATTCTCCACATCTTTCTCTGTTTTTTCCTCATCTTTCTCTACCTTCTTCAATCCTTTCTCTACCTTATCAATCCTTTCTCTACCTTCTTCAATCCTTTCTCTACCTTATCAATCCTTTCTCTACCTTCTCCCATCCTTTCTCTACCTTCTCTAATCCTTTCTCTACCTTCTCCCATCCTTTCTCTACCTTCTTTAATCCTTTCTCTACCTTATCAATCCTTTCTCTACCTTCTTCAATCCTTTCTCTACCTTATCAATCCTTTCTCTACCTTCTCCCATCCTTTCTTTACCTTCTCTAATCCTTTCTCTACATTCTTCAACCCTTTCTCTACCTTCTCCCATCCTTTCTCTACCTTCTCTAATCCTTTCCCTACATTCTTCAACCATTTCTCTGCCTTCTCCATTTTTTTCTCTACCATCTTCAATCCATTCTCTACCATCTCAAATCCTTTTTCTATCGTCTCCAATCCTTTCAGTCGCTTCTCTAATTCTTTCTATACTTTCTTCAATCCTTTCTCTACTTTCTCCAATCTCTTCTTTGTCATCTTTAATCCTTTCTTTTTAGTCTCCAATCCTTTCAGTTGCTTCTCCAACCCTTTCTATACTTTCTTCAATCCTTTCTCTTCAATTCTCCAACTTATTATAAAATACACTTTGAATTGTAGAATACAAATTATATATGATTCTCCTTCTCTGCGTGTGGTTAAATCCTTCCAACCTTTCCAGTTTCAAGTGTATCTAATTCCACGCATCCTTGCTTTTTACGTTTTTATCCTTAGCATCTTGTATACATGCTTTCTATCTATCTATCTATCTATCTAAATTCCATCTGCATAACTTGCAACAAGCGAATCATACCTGAAAGAATCGCGGTTTCTTTTGATATTGCAAAATCTCCAGGTCCACATCTAACATACGGACTGTATCGCATCACGTGATATGGTTCCATATACAGGGGCATCTCGGAGAGAGGATTGCTGATTATCCGTCTCAAGGGAGTTCCAGTGTGCCGGGGGGTACTCATACGGGGGGTTGAGAGCGGAGTTATCCGTCTGGGTCCAGGACTAGCTCCACAGCTCCCCTGCCGACTGAAACCTGATCTAGGTGATCTGGGGGAACCGTATCCAGGGTGGGGATTATTGTAATTATCATCAAATATCGGAACCTTTCTAGATCCTCCGCTCCTGCTACCGGAGTTAGATCCGCTCTCCGATATAGCGCCCTCGGCAAAGTACGAGTAATGAAGGGGCTCCGTAGGATTTAACGCAACCTTTTCACTGGGCATAGAACACTCAACTGATGGTTTATTAGTCCATTGTTTACGAGATCTAGATCTGCTCACAATAAAGAAAATGATCGCTGCAAGGAGAACGATCACGGTCGTGAGCGCCCCAACAATGATTGGCATAAGTGATAGTTCACTTTCTTTACCAGGGGTTGTGTTGATCACTGTATCAGGGACTGAAGAACTTAGTTTATCGTCCTGTTGATCCTGTTGAACATGTTGAATATCTCCCTCACTAGCCTCTTCAGTATAGTTTCCTCGAGCTGCTGAACCATCAAAGGTTACTTCGGAGATAAGAATCCATTTTGACGCGAAGAAAAGTTGCATTTTCACAAACCGTCCCACCCTACGGTGCAGTTTAATGGAGACGTTTCTTGGCTCCTCAAATATTTCGTCGCTCAGCGGTGTATGGGACACAGGCTCCTTCCCATAGATTTTCCCGCTGATGGAAAAGAAGGCTTTCATTTCTTTAAAGATGGCGATCTCCCTGGAGAACTGATTGTTAGAGTACAGCTGGACACCGTGAAACTCGCGGATTTCTTCAAACTCGAAGACGATCTCGACAAACTCTCTTTTATCGCTCTTCCAACCAACCCATCCACGGTCTGAAACAAATGTTAAATTTATGTAAATTGAGAAAGACAAAATAGCCAAATTTCCGTTTTTCTCCGGGCTCTAAGAAGAGTTGGTGTAAACATACTATTTCTGGGGCTGGGACGGAACATGTATAATTGCTTGTGAGAATGAATGAAATTTAAAACTTCAAAGCGGTTGAAAATGCTTTAAGTCGTAAAAAATGAAATATACTGGTAGAATCGGGGTAAGAGAGGGGAGGGGAGAAGGATAACTCAATAATATCGTCAACCCTAAAAGGCTAAACGATAATTTTGAACCCCTATTTGGAAGAAATGATTGCTTCTGTTGACCGAAGTTAGGTTTCTAAATGATATCTCTTAAAAACAGAACTTACTTTTGGCGTAGTAGCTGAGCTTGTAGTCATCTGGTCCTAGATTTCCGTCCGTGAGAGATCCCAATCCGTTCTCCAGATAGTTCCCTCGCCATTCTCCATCATAGTTCCAATCATAGAACTCATAAGTAGGTCCACGTTTATCCCCCTGGGGCATACTGTAGCTCAGTAATCCAACTATATATACAAACATATGTCTTATAGAAATAATTTAACTAACCCCCGGTTTTATTTCTAACCCATTTATAATTAAACCGTCAGAAAATAATAGGTTTACCAAAAAAGAATTCAACAGAATTCTTCTGACATTAATCTGTCCATTTTTTCCCCCGTTTATGGACGCCTTTATTGCAAATGTGGGAATAAAGAGAAGAAAATATATTCACAAATTAATTAATCCGACGCCTACATCTCATCTTCTCTCTTTCTCTCTAATCCTCAGAATATCCAAGATGTATGCAAGACATGTCCTGAGAGAGAGGCAAGTATTGACCAGGTGGTATCATAATGAGATATAATTCTGATTGAACCCATCTCTGCTGATAAACTTTGAACCCAGAGATATTATTATTCTCAATTCAAGATTCATATCAAATATTCCATCCATCAAACTTAGTTTCTAGTCTTACTCCGGCCTTATGAAACTTTAACTTGTTAAACCTATTTCTTTCAGAACTTTCCTTTTTTATTACTTTTGTTTTTGTTGTTAGTATCATACTTCTCACATTATTTGGTTCTTTTATCTGTTCAGGCCAAGTCATTTTTCTAACTCTTATTTTTTGCATTTTTCTTCCTTGTTAAGAACTTGTCACTAAAATTCCCTAAAATATATTAATTTTTGTCTACATTTTAGACCAGAGTGATTCTTATTTTTAAACTGAAAATACCCCCCCCCCCTTCCATCCCCAAGAACTGCACACTATCCGCCCTCCCTTCAACTTCCATTTATGAATTCCTCCCTAGCTCCCTCTCCACTCTCCAGTATAGTGTTGAACCTATTGAGTTCCTAATCAGATCAAGTCTTAAAGCAAACAGTACCCGGAGCATTAATCCAACAAATCCTCGGTTAGAGGAGACCTGCACGCACACAATCTTATCAGGGCGATCAGATCTCCAATAACATGCTACTAACCCACCACACACATACTTTATAAACCACAGACAGTGCTTGCAGAGCAAACATCAAACAGAATTTTATCGCAGATATATCTACACATTCTTACAGACATTACAGACATCAAAGACTTTTTCTTTTTCCTCAAATCAGACTAAATTTGATAAAATATCAATAAATCTTTATTTTTTAGATACATGCAATCAGCATGTAGGTTTGCATAAAAACACCAGAATTGAACAAAAATCTTAAGGATTGCACTCAAACCTTGGAGATTGCATTGCATCCAACCTTCAAGGATGGAATCCAACCCTAGGATTGGATACAAACATCCAGGATTTGATACAAACCTCTAGGATAAGATAAAATCCTCTAGGATTGGATGTAAACCTCTAGGATTGGGTAAAAACCTGTAGGATTTGATGCACACATCCAGGATTTGATACAAAGTCAAACCTCTAGATTTGGGTACAAACCTCTAGGATGAGATACACACCTTTAGGGTTGTGGAAAACCTTTAGGATTGGATAAAAATCTCTAAGATTGGATACACAACTCTAGGTTTGGTTACAAACCTATAGGATTGGATACAAAAACCTCGAGAATGTACACAGCCTAAGATATTGGATGTAAACTTCTCGGATTGCATAAAACCCTATAGGATCAGTGGAAACCTTTAAGAGTGTCTCCAGGATTGCAAGATTGTCTATAAACCTCCTGGACTTTACACAAATCTCCAAGTTTCCAAGTTTACATTAAAACCTGTTGAGGATTACATAAAAACCTTTAAGATTGTTTAAACACCGAGATTAGTAAACAAATATCAAGAGTTGCATTAAATCTCCAAGAACCTTCAGTATAATATTTACACCTTTAGAGTTCATAAGAACCTAAACGATTTCACCAAACTCAAGAATTGCATCCAAACCTCAAGAATTACTTTTTAAAAAATTTACATTTAATCCTTGTTCACTAGATATAACCCTCAAAGAATAAACTTTAACTGAAGAATGAACACCTGTGGATCGATATAAAGTCCTTGAACGACCAACAAGGATTGGAAACATTACTCACCATCACTCCTGCAACCGTAGATCTCTACCCGCATACAGATTGTTCTCTGATGAGGACTGTAAGGGTGAAACCGAACCTTACTCGCTAGTATCACAGGTTCTGAAACAGCAGGAGGGTTAACAGGGTTTACTCAGGGTACTTTATTCTATAGATATCAGCTGGATATATTTAAACCATCCTATGTTTGGTAGGTCTCATCGTTGTTAAAAAAGGTTATATTGTCTCTAGGTTGTGTGAATCTATTCCAGAGTCTGTTCTAAATGAAATATGAAGGTTTTGGTGATTTTTCCCTTTAAAATATTCAGAAATATTTGGAAATATGAGTTCCCGTCAGTCCTGAGATAAGAACTATTATCCCAATCCTCTCTCCTCACTCTCAAATAAATATTTAGCCTGGATTTAAGCATTGCTCCGAGCTATTTTTCTTTCAATCTCCAGGCTAGGATGGAAAAGCAGAAGACGAACTGCGGAGATCTTTATCCGTCTTTGTACGTGTCTGTTGCCTGTCAGTGTATGTTTGTTTATTCTACACTTTGAACCTAAACTTTAAATGATGAATTATCAAGTTTAGGATATTTTGCATCTTTGAGAACTGTTGAATGAAATGATTTTAAAATTCAAAAGCAAGGAAAATGTTTGTAAGAATTCTCAGATTTAATCAGTTTAAATTTAAGTTTTATCAGATCTCAGGGGTTTAATGTTTCAACGAGTTTTAATTCATAATATTCATAGTTTACAGATACACTCATACAAACTGTATTATTATGTTCATGGTGATGTTACTGTAATTATGCTTGTTCATATTGTTCATATTGTTCATGTTGTTCATGTTCTTCATTTTGTTCATGTTGTTCATGTTGTTCATGTTGTTCATGTTGTTCATGTTGTTCATGTTGTTCATGTTGTTCATGTTGTTCATGTTGTTCATGTTGTTCATGAAGTTCATGTTGTTCATGTTCTTCATTTTGTTCTTGATGTTCATGTTGTTCATGTTCTTCATTTTGTTCTTGATGTTCATGTTCTTCATTTTGTTCATGATGTTCATGTTCTTCATTCTTGTTCATGATGTTCCTTTGTTTATGCTGTTCATGTTGTTTACGTTGTTCGTGTGGTTCATGTGGTTCACATTGTTCATTTTGTTCATGTTATTCATGTTTTTTTAGTTGTTCATGTTGTTCATGTTGTTCATGCTGTTCATATTGTTCAAGTTGTTCATGTTGTTCATGTTTTTCATGTTGTTCATGTTGTTCATGTTGTTCTTATGGTTCATATTGTTCATATTGTTCATGTTGTTTATGTTGTTCATGTTGCTCATGTTGATTATGTTGTTCATGATGTTCATGCTGTTCATGTTGTTCATGTTTTGGTCCAAATCAATTTCTACCGTTTTGACTTTTTTTGAAATTTCCTACCTATAGATTGTTTGACCGCTAGGTAGGTATTTGTATTCCCTTCCAGCACCTCCTGGTTCTCTATATTCCTGTAGCGAACCCACTTCCCCAACCTATCCCTCCAGTATTCCAGGATATAGGACTCGGAGAACTCAGCTCCCATCCCGTTCCCAAACCGTCCCATCGTCTCACTTCCGGTGATCACATGAACGTCCTGGAATAAGATGGATGGAGAAATATATAAAAAATATTTCAGTATTGAAACTGATTACTCGCCTCAAACTTCTCTAATCCTTATATATTTGCAACATGATGGTTCAAAACCATTTAGTTTTCAAACTTTGCCTATTGGATTTAAAGGGTGCTCAAACTCTATATTAAGATGAGCTTCTGGATTATTTAGTAATTATCTTTAAACAGAAGTAAAACCTTGAAATTTGATCAACTCTCTGGATAGTATTGAAGAGGAAAATAGACGGACAATTTAAATGAAAATACAATGCAGGAAGGTATTTCTGAGATAAATAGATAAATTATACAGCTATATATTCTACCTTCCATTATGCGGTCCTACGCTGGCATGCTCGAAAGATGAAGAAGCGGAGATATCACTGTCACTGATGGCTCCTGATTCCATCCCCAGTGGAGCTATGCAGGTCGCTAAAAACAGATAAAAAACATGAGAAAACATCCCAGGACGAATCATTAACATGTGTCCTAGTTTCTTGTCGACAGAAAACACAAAGTTTCTGTATTATTGATTACTAACTAGCAACATACTCCAGGTTCCTACTGGATATGGGACCTGGAGAAAAACGTTCTCTCTAGCATTGATAAAACGGTGTAATGAAGCTCCAGGATAGAGGGTTTAATGTGTAGGACACGATGGCACGCAAATATACAGTAAATCAGGTCTTAGCTAATATATTTCCATTCTTGTCTTTTCATCTTTCTCTTCACTTTCTTTTTGAGAATTTAAAGGGACTGTTCACGTAATTTCAAGGAGTTGTGTGGAACACTTTGTCTTAGCAAAATTGACGAATATTGAAAAATTGACAATGTTCAGTTCAGAGCTTAGGATCCATTTAATTTTGATGCGGATGCGGATCCTAGATCCGCAATGGAGTAAAACGGATCCCGATCCAAATCATGAAAATTTCTTTAAGATTTTCGGATTTTTTAACAAAAGTTTTTTCTCGGTTTTTAATTGATATTTTGCCCCTTGGATCCAGATCCTAAGCACTGTTTCGGTTGTGGTTTCTCTATAAAAAAGACTAAAAAGTTTATTGGACAGTAAGATATGAAAATTGCAAACTTTAGAATCTTTCAAAAACAGACAATTTTTTTAAAAAGAAAGATGTCGGGGAAAAGTGATTGCATTGACGTTTATGCGTCATTTTGTCCATTGATATGTTTCTGTGTATTTATCTATCTATCTATCTATCTATCTATCTATCTATCTATCTATCTATCTATCTATCTATCTATCTATCTATCTATCTATCTATCTATCTATCTATCTATCTATCTATCTATCTATCTATCTATCTATCTATCTATCTATCTATCTATCTATCTATCTATCTATCTATCTATCTATCTATCTATCTATCTATCTATCTATCTATCTATCTATCTATCTATCTATCTATCTATCTATCTATCTATCTATCTATCTATCTATCTATCTATCTATCTATCTATCTATCTATCTATCTATCTATCTATCTATCTATCTATCTATCTATCTATCTATCTATCTATCTATCTATCTATCTATCTATCTATCTATCTATCTATCTATCTATCTATCTATCTATCTATCTATCTATCTATCTATCTATCTATCTATCTATCTATCTATCTATCTATCTATCTATCTATCTATCTATCTATCTATCTATCTATCTATCTATCTATCTATCTATCTATCTATCTATCTATCTATCTATCTATCTATCTATCTATCTATCTATCTATCTATCTATCTATCTATCTATCTATCTATCTATCTATCTATCTATCTATCTATCTATCTATCTATCTATCTATCTATCTATCTATCTATCTATCTATCTATCTATCTATCTATCTATCTATCTATCTATCTATCTATCTATCTATCTATCTATCTATCTATCTATCTATCTATCTATCTATCTATCTATCTATCTATCTATCTATCTATCTATCTATCTATCTATCTATCTATCTATCTATCTATCTATCTATCTATCTATCTATCTATCTATCTATCTATCTATCTATCTATCTATCTATCTATCTATCTATCTATCTATCTATCTATCTATCTATCTATCTATCTATCTATCTATCNGGACGGATTTAAACAAAGAACAGAGTTAGATCAGGAGTAAAAGAGATGACTTGGCCTAATAACGTCTAAGATAAGGATATTTCTGACTGCATGTATAGGTCAGCATAAAATGGAGCTCAATGCTTGATCCCCAGATTCACAACATTAAAGTTCTGTCTTCATTTTTACCTGTATCCAACCCATCTGTGAAGGATGAGTGTAAAATGAGGACGGACTGGACGAGGAGTAAGGAGATGATGTTTTGGCCTGACATCCTGTATTCATCTCCGTCTAATCCTGAAACAAAATACTAAATTTAACATTTCTTTGTTTTATTGTTGAATAATTAAATATCTAATTAATAATTATAATTTGAATAAGTTTATCAAAACATGAGATCTCCCGACACTAGAGTTACAGAGTAGGGTTGGGACTTTGGGGAGTTAAGGTTTCATATTCTCAACATTCTTGAGATAAACTTTAGAATTCAGGACTAGAGGAGAGCACCAGTTCTAAACATGAATGTAAAAAATTCAAAGTTTTCTGTTCTTATTCCTTGTCTGTATAGTCCCCACCCTATAGATAGGATCGGTCGGAGCTAACAAAATATCGAAGCTATAAATTCTCCAGGTTTTACATTCAGTCCAATTAAGGTTTAAGGATATCGGTGGGATTATCCAGGATTCTTTTTATTTCCCATCCTTCGCTCTCCGGTTTATTCTTCTCTCCCCGGTTCATCCTTCTCTCCCCCGGTTCATCCTTCTCTCCCCGGTTCATCCTTCTCTCCCCGGTTCATCCTTCTCTCCCCAGTTCATCCTTCTCTCCCTGGTTCATCCTTCTCTCCCCGGTTCATCCTTCTCTCCCCAGTTCATCCTTCTCTCCCTGGTTCATCCTTCTCTCTCCAGTTCATCCTTCTCTCCCCGGTTTATCCTTCTCTCCCAGTTCATTCTTCTCTTCCGGTTCATCCTTCTTTCCCCGGTTTATCCTTCTCTCCCCTGTTCATTCTTCTTTGGTTTGTGCTGCTTTTCTTACCCAGGACTTCTTAAGTTTCTCCTGCTTTCACCGCTGCTCTTGCTCTTTTTACTTTAAATGTTTCACTTTTACCGCTGCTCTTACTCTTATTACTCTAAATGTTTCACTTTTACCGCTGCTCTTGCTCTTTATACTTTAAATGTTTTACTTTTATCGCTGCTCTTGCTCTTATTACTTTAAATGTTTCACTTTTAACGCTGCTCTTGCTCTTTTTACTTTAAATGTTTCACTTTTAACGCTGCTCTTGCTCTTTATCCTTGAATGTTTCACTTTTCTTGCTGATCTTAATATCCTTTCTTGGTGCTTTACAACTTCTCCTGCTCAACCAAAGTGTTAGTCCTAATTATACATCTTCTAATCCAACCTGACTATTTTAATCTAGATCTTCTGTTCAGGATTTTTACCTCTCCCTTCTTCTATTCTAGAACCTGCTGTGTCGGCAAATCTGCTTAATGGCTTATCAAAGTTTTGACATGAGCATACATTAGCTGTCAGGAGTTCTCATTTATCTGTTTCTTTTGATGTAATTAGATCTAGGAGATATAGGAGACTTATATTATTATACACCTTGAGATATAGGAGACTTATATACTAAAAGATCTAGGAGATATACTTGTCTATATATTAAGAGATATAGGAGATATAGTTGTTTATTTATTAAGAGATATAGGAGATACACTTATTTATATATTAAGAGATATAAGAGATATAGTTGTTTATATACTAAAAGATCTAGGAGATATACTTGTTTATATATTAAGAGATATAGGAGATATACTTGTTTATATACTAAGAGATATTGGAGATATAGTTGTTTATAATTTAGGAGATCTTGGGGATATGTTCTTTAATATTCTAGGAGATGTGTTCTGCCCTTTTATCAACAAGTGAAGTCCCCCCCCCTTCCTTTTTCCATCNGGGGAGGGGGGAAGGAGGTGATGTTTTCTATCATAATCTGCATAGTTAAAGAAAAGAATAACCAACAAGATTTTGCTGAAGTAAAATATAGGTTCTCTAGGATCTATAGGATTGATTGATTATTCGAATGAATCAGATAGGGTTCTTAAGTATTTTCAAATATCAGAGTATCTTCAACCATAATGGAAAAGAGCGTGTGTTTAATGAAAAGGGCGGATATAGAAAAGCTTCTCAATTCTTTGGAATAAGTTTCATTGAATTTTCACAGAAAATGGATCAAAATGTTTTACCAAGAAGTTCTTAAATAAAACGACAAAACACGTAAACTCGGGGATATCTTTGTATGTAACAATTCTAGAGATTTCTCTGGGTACTCTGTAGAGTACAATAACGTGAAAGGATTGAATCACTTGAATCCAATTTCTGATGATTATAAGAACGCTGCTTGAGTTTAAAGCCATTGTAAACTACGGAGACATATTTTAAATATATTAATGATGAATATTCTAGTTTACTAGGTTTACCTTGTAAACTACAGTGACATATTTAAAATATATTTATGATGAATATTCTAGTTTACTAGGTTTACATTGTAAACTACGGACACATATTTTAAATATATTTATGATGAATATTCTAGTTTACTGGGTTTACATTGTAAACTAGAGAGATATATTTTAAATATATTTATAATGAATATTCTAGTTTACTAGGTTTACATTGTAAACTACGGACACATATTTCAAATATATTTATGATGAATATTGTAGTTTACTAGGTTTACATTGTAAACTACAGAGACATATTTAAAATATATTTATGATGAATATTCTAGTTTACTAGGTTTACATTGTAAACTAAATACTCCTCCCAAACCTCTCCCGATTTTTCTTAAATCAATTCCAAAGGAATATCAAACTCCCCCAACGTTTCTCCACTCTTAAATTGCCGTAATTACCCAATATCGAATTAAGCTCTAAAATCCCCTTCCCATTACATAATCTTCTCTTTTTCATCCTTAAACTTTCTCTTAAATAGTTTTCTCAGTTCCCCCCATCTTTTCTTCTTCTTTATTCTTTTTTTTTATATCATCGTTCTTTATATCTTCATTCCTGTAATATCATTCTGCTAATGGATTTTTAAAAAGATATTAAAAAATTGGTTTAACTGGATGCCGTAAAAACCTAAATTCTTTTTAATGGTTTTAAGTCACAAATGCTTTTGCAGTCAATAGTCAATGAACATGTGTCTCAATAGTTTGATATAAAGTGACAAAGTCCCTCCCCTCCATACCCCTTAATGGTTTAAATAAATCTTAGTTAGTTTTTCTTAATAAATACTGTGTACAGGAATTAAGTAAATGGAAAAGTTTTTTCTTCAAATATGATAAATTATTTTGGGAACGGATTATCCCTGGTTTAGCTCCGTAGTCCCCTAGAATAGGTTTGAAAGGGTTGCTTTTGAATAGGTTTGGACGATGTCCGTTTAAGGAGAGATTACATCATATTCTGGTCTGATGAGAACCCTGGGTGGAGGGGACGGATGATAAATACGTTCTCACACATGTCGTCTATAGTATTTTTTTAAATATTGTAAAATATGATTGAAAAGATTGCTGGATAATGGATAGGGGTGGAGGGGGGGGGAGAAGGGAGAGAAGGGTTAAATTTATGAAGATAAGTACGAGCTAAGATTATTTAAATTGTGTTATCAACTTGATATATTTCATATATGGGTTGAGATAAGAAGAATTCTCTCAACCTATCCCAGTTAATCAGCCTAGATTAGAACATCCTATCTCCATTCTCCATTCTTTCATCTCCTCCATTCTTCATTCTTTCAACTTCTCCATTCTTCATAATTTTTTCTCCTCAATTCTTTAATCTCCTCCATTCGTCATTCTTTCGTCTTCTCCATTCTTCATTCTTTCATTTCCTTCATTCTATACATTCCTCCATCTCCTTCGTTTTTTATTTTTTATCCTTCATATCCTCCATTCTTAGCTCCTTCATATCCTCCATTATTTATTTTTCATCTCCTCCATTCGCCATTCTTTCGTATTCTCCATTCTTCATTCTTTCATTTTCTACATTCTTTTACAACCGAGCTTCCAAAAAACGTCATAAACTACAAAAAAATGGTCTTTCCCCCAAAAAAGTACTTGATTAAATACAACTATAATCTTTAAAACATTATGTTAAATCTAAATCTGAAAACAACTATTGTATTTTTGTACACTCTGGTCTGTAATATAATCATGTATTTACAGCGAATAGTTTTTCCTCCGGAATACATGATGAATAGCGGCTATAAAGACCGATGAACATAGCTCTAGCTTTTTATCCACATATCCCGATACGAGAACATATTTTCATCCTACCATGCACTGTAGAACCCATTATAAACCAACCTTGAGTTGGGGGGGAGGGGGAGGGGAGGAATTCTTTAAATTCTAAAACGTAGAATGCATCGAAGGAGAATGAATTAGCAATGCTGCCCTACAAGAACATTTAAAACTTCTATTATATTTCATATTAGTCCGTTTTATTTTGATTGCATTCCCATTTAGTTTCCATTTGCATTTTTAACATTACCATTCCAATTCCATTAAGATTATTCTCATTTCCATTATGATTATTCCCATATCCATGCTGTTTTTTCCCATCTCAATTTTTTTCATCGTTTCCATTTCCATTTTGATTTCCATTCCATTCTGATCATTCTGATCTTTCCCATTTTCATTCTGATTATTCCCATTGATATTTCATCATTTTCAATTTGATCGTTCCAATTTCCATTTTGATTATTCTCATTTCCATTTTGATCATTCCCATCCCATTCCAATCTGATTATCCCATCTCCTTTCAGATCAATTCCTTTTCGAATGTATTTCTGAATGCATTTTTAATTCCCATTTTTTTCCATTTCCTTTCCAGTTCTGCTTCATTTCTTATTGAATTTTTCTCAGAACATTCAAGCTTATTGTGTGTTTCTGATTAGTCTGGGTGTTTGTGTCTAAGTGTGTGTTTGTGATTTGTGTGAGTTTGTGATTTGCGTGTTTTTGTGATTTTTGTTTTTCTTATTTAATGTACGTATATTTGTGATTTAGTAACAGTTAGTGGGGTTTTAGTGTGTAAAGTCTGTGTTTCTTATTTAAGTATTTCAGTAAGTTTACGGTTGTGATTTGAGAAGCTAATTTATGATTTGAGCAGTTTTAGTTGTTTGTGATTGGTTGATTTAGTGCATGTTTGGAAGTTAAGTTGTATGTATTAGTTTGTTTAATGTTTATATTGACTAGGCGAGAAATCAAAACAAACTTTTTAAAAATCTGAAAATATTCAAGTTTG